GTTATATGTAGATCCCTGTAATCGGTTCCCCTTTCCACCCTCCTGGTATTGCCACTCTCACCACTGGTCTTTATGAGAGTAAAAAGCCCCATCCTTTTCCCCTTTAATACATATATACATAGATTCATACAAAAATAAGGATGGTGTTTCTAGTAAGAAAATTAGTGAGGGTTGTCTGTAAGGTCCTTTTATGCACTACGACACTGTCTATAGTACACATTACTAATGATAATACACACATGCGCGCACACACACACACACACACACACACGCAGTCCTCAGTGTGGTTTGTCATAACTCAAATTTGTTGTAAACTGGGGATTACTATATTGGCATTTGACACCAGGAGTAAGAATTTGTGCCATCAAACACTGCCATTGAAGGTGTCACTGCTCATGAGTGAACTCAGGACAAGATGTAAGCTGGGAAATTATGATCACTGATATGGTGCCAAAATACCATCTGATGAGATGGGCAGACACAATATTAAGCATGCAACCTACTGAGCACTTCTTAAGGCTATGGATAGGGTCCCATACATCCCATACAGGAACTTTGCGGGCCCAGTTCCTCATGCACTCACTCAGGGCAAGTGCTCATCAAAAGCACTTTCATCACATATAGAAGCTAAAGACCACGGGGAGCCAGGAACATCTACATTCAATTCTCCTCCACCCACACTGCCTGAGTGCCCGCATGGCTAAACTTAGGGTGCTGAAAAGATTAACTGAATAAGGACTGCACTGTATTCAACTCGGCATCACTGGTCAAAGACAAAAGCAGTTTTTCCCAGTGGTTGGGAAACCTGGATTGTGTTTAATGTGATTCAGGCAAACAAAGTTTACTCTTGGGGCAAAACAAAGCTAACCCAGTGGAAGCCTACTTTAGAAAGGAAAACAATAAATAAAAAGGGACAATAAATAAAAATTTTAGATTCTGAAGTCTTAAGATAGAAATAAACAGATTTGTAGTGAACCCTTTCACCACCAGATTTTTTTCTGAAAAGGAAGCAGCAGGCCAAATAATTCTGGGAACTCTTGGATGAAATGATTAATATCTTTAAAAATAAACACACCCAATCCAACTTACCTATGTCTTTGGCCCTTGAAGCTAAAGGTCGCCTCCACTGTGTGACAAATTTGTAAGCGTCCAGTCGGATTTCAATGATGTTATTCAGTAAGGCCAGAAGTGGTGCTAGGGGAAAAGCTGCCACAAAGATCGTTGTGAATCCAAATTGAAGAACTAGAGAAGACAAAAGAAAAGAGAACATATACCATTGGCTTTCCATTTACAAAAATAGAATAACCTGACTATGTCTTTGACTTATCCCATATTTTTCTCACTACAGAAGCTCATGGGACACTGGATACAGAAGCACTCCTGGGCCTGTGGACCTTGACATCCCAGAAGCACCAAGCACACCTAGAGCCCAGATGTTGTTCACTACATACCACTCTTCATTCAAAGGACCAGGACTCCACTAAGAAATGGTTCAGGTCAGGGCTACAGCAGTGAAAATACAGGAGGCATCTGGAATATCTTCTGATGCCAGAAGGCAAGGAAGTGCTCAAAAATGTGGGGACAAATTAAAAAGACAGTGGGTCAACTTGACGGTGCACCCAATGGACAAAGCAGGCACAATTTGGGGGTAAAACCAGAACTTAATAATAAGACAAAGACTAAAGTGAACAGCTAGGGGTTCTATACTAATGTGACTCAGTCCGTCAGTCAGTCAATGGAGGGAGGAAAGAAACAGCTTTTCTTATAGCAGAATTCTGATTAATAAGGATAGAAGGAATAATGAAAACAGAAAATTAGCATTAGCAAACACCACCTTAATAAATATTGTGGGTAAAACTCAAAACCAACCTCACTGCCATCAAGTCCATGTCAGCCCATAGCAACGCTATGAGACAGGGTAGAACTGTCTCTGTGAGGTTCTGCGACTATAACTCTTTAAGGGAGAAGAAAGCCTCATCTTTGAACTGCTAAACTTGCAGTTAGTAGCCCAACATGTAAACATTATGCCAGCACAGCCCCATTATTATGGGCAAGAAACAAAACACACACACACAAATCAGTGGGGAAAAGTATGGTAAAAAAGAAGGTACCTGCATATTGTGAAAAAATTCTAATTTTATGTTGAGAAACTTGACAAATATCCCCTTAATCAAGTGATCAAAGTTACAATCAGCGTTATAGGATATAATGACATCACAACATAGTCTCTTGATGCAAGAAAATCAGGTAGTTAATGACAAGGCCTACATATGGCCTCCTCCCTGGGGGACGGACAGCGGAGAAGTGGGTGAGGGAGACATCGGATGGTGTATGTTAAAATAATAATAGTGTACAAATTATCAAGG